TACAACCAACAAGCTCAAGTAGAAGTGTGCGGTCAGTTAGCACGAGTTTGAGTGAAATGTCTTCAAAACTTGTGTCTATGGAACAGTCTAGTGTCGTAGCTCCAAGTTCATTGCATTCTACTCTTACCACTATTGAATCAAAGATGTCCATAAATATTATAACATCAGTTGGTYCGAAAACGTCTCATGCTATGTCATCTGTCTCCTTCACTTCATCCATACGACCTTCTCCAACAAGTTTCTCTATTTTTTATCAAAGTAGTTCAAGTGCCGCAGAATCCACTCAATTTGCCTCACTTTTTTCCGCTTCAACAAGGTCTCTTGAACCATCTCCCACAAGCTCAATCTTTCCTTCGAGCTCAGTTAGTTTACCAAGTATTAACGACACTGAAGGGATTGTGGTCATTAGTGTGTTTGTTCCGTTGAAAGTGAATGTATATACGCAAGAGTTTAAAGACTACATTGCTGGGAAACTGCTCGATGCATACAGGTAAGTGCAGACGTTTTTTTCTCTCTCTCTCTCTCTCTCTCTCTCTCTCTAATAATTCAAGGAATATAAAACACGCGCGCATGTTTCTGCGATCGCTAAAGATGTGTTTCTATATGTTCCCTAAAAACGACGGTTTTGGGCGTTCGCAGCGACCATACTGATCAAATTGAAACCAGACTTAGTGCGCAATACACAGACATAAGTAGCGTGTCTCTATTCTATGATATAAACACGGTTGCCAGCCAATCACTGAGCGTGCGCGTCATATCTCAAATATTTTATAGTGGCTGATAATTGCTCCTTGATTTAAAACAATTACGTCTCTGTTGCTTTTCTCAAGAATTGGACTCAGTAAACCAAGTCAAAGGAAAAGACGCGAGGTGAAGGATGGACCCCAAACGCAGCCACCCAATGCCAGTAACACGACCAAAGAACTCCCAAGAAATCAGATTAAAAACGTTATGGAAAATTATCTARTTGACTTGAAATCTCACAGAAAAAGACACATCCAAAAAGGAACTCAGGCAGTAGCTTTAAACAATCAGTTGGTGGCTTTTCTTGGTTTGGTCGGAAAGAATCGCGCGCCAGGAAAAGAGCTGAGAGTTGGAGAGTCTTCCTTCTCGAAAGCCGTTGCATTTGGAATTCCTGGACATTTGTATCGACGGATAAGAAGGGAGACTGACAACTATAGAGTACAGGTACTGTTAGTAAGCTATACTCAGCTGTTGTATTGCGGGATGACTTGTGTTTGCTAACAGCTTGTAATTCAGTGGCTAGAGCATGGCACCGGAATCGCTAGGGCACGGGTTCAAATCCCGCTCAAGACTCAGAATTTTTTCTGAGTCTTTCAATTTGCAGCTGCATAAGTTGCTTCGTATACTGCGAGGATCAGCTCAATTTGACAGCTTGTAATTTATATTTGAATTCGTTTATCAATCATTTTTAAACATTTGATTTATCGGAAAAGGAAATTCATATAAAATTCACATCTTCGTTATAAGRGCAATCTTTACGAAATCGTTTTGCAATTTTCCTTTTATCAATGTGGCAAATTTGATCGTAAACTCCTTTTTCCGATAAATCAAATATCTTATGATGTCAGGCTAGCGTGATAAGGAACATATCTTTAATATCCTTTGGTCCACAGATAAGTTCCATCAAGAGGACACCAAATGACCAAAGCGAGACAGTGGCTRTTAACTATCGAGTACTGGAAGGTAGCGAGATTGTACCGGCATCAAAAGTGGTCGACAGAACCAATATGTTGACAAAAAATGAACTGATGTATACCTTGGGATTGCCGGTGAGCATAGAATAGACCCCTTGTCAAAATGGCGRCTGCGAATTCGGTTGAGTTAAAATTAAACTGAGAGAAAAACCAATACCAGCACTGGAAAAAGCACATTTATTTTAGTAACCTTACGAAGCTAAGATTCATTAAGTCAGGTGTTATATCGGCTGAGAAAACTCAAGTTGAAAATTGACAAATTTACAGA